ATAACTATTATTTTAGGATCTGAAAGATTTGCAGATGATAATTTAATGACTTAGGGAAGGCAGCCTAGCCTCTTGGAGCCTGACGTAATTAACGGGTGATCATCAAAAGATGTTTCTCCAGAAATGAAGTAACAGGTTCAAAATAGAAATGTGACATCACAAGAGCAAAATCAACATAATAGAGTGAAGTGGAATAAAAATATAGTTTTTAAAGAAAAATAAGGAAATTTTAAAGGTCATTATGTTCAATCTCATTTTAAATATGTCAAAACAATTTCAAATTGTTTCATTTTTGAATATGTCGTTTCATTCACAGTAGTTAAAATGGGGGGAAAAAGTGGTTACTGATTATAGAATAATGGATTTGGTTTTCAATGTGCCTAAAACGTTAAGAGGCCCTCATAGACATATGATCACACAGTGGAAATCATATGGATTCACATTAGTATTAGGTGTAGTTTGTTTCTCATTTATTCTGAATGACTTTAAGGAACTAGTTTCATCTCTTTCAACTTCAGTTTTCTCATTGATAGAGAAATATACCAATGATATCCATCTGCCTCAAAGGGTTATGATGACTATTAAATAATATAACACTGGATCAAATTGCCTAACACGATCTCAGAATAGAATGAACTCTCATTTGAAGTGGGTTCTGTCTCTCCAAATAGGGATAATGCAACTACACTTTTCTGAAACTCAGGAAACAATTCCTGAAAAGGCTTCACTGTCCCTACTATAATAGTGTGAGAATATACAAATGTAATCATATTATATTAGCCAACATTTAAATTTCAAACTATATTTTTATAAATTTTTTTAATTTAAAAAATATTTTTAGTTGTTGATGGACCTTTATTTTATTTATTTGTATGTGATGCTGAGAATCGAACCCAGTGTGTCACACATGCTAGGGAAGCACACTACCACTGAGCCACAACCCCAGCTCCGTAAAATTTATTTTTAAAAGCAAATTCCAGGACATTACCATTGAGTCATTAAAAATCAGACCTTTGTCACAATATATACTGTTAATCATCAAACGAATACTGCACTATCTGCTTTCAAGTCATAGGGCTTATCTGAGTGTCCATGGAGACTACTGGTAAAATATAGAGGATCTCTTTGTTTCTTGGACTCGATTTTACTTCTACTTTGACATGTTAGGTCTCCAGTTACAAGAAATAATGACTGCTTTTGCAAAATTCTTGTGAATCTAGTAGTGAAAGAAATTGTTCTTTTATTTATAAAATTTAAAAAGTTGCCTAGCTATTCCTGTGAGAGAAAAGAGCCTGCTGCCATGCTGTATCCTACTATCATCATCACTTACTCACTGAGCTCATGATTTGTACAAAAATAATACAAAAAAATAAAATTATTTATCATTTAAATTAAAAATTTAACTGATACATTCAGATTCTTGTCATGCATTTGGAAAGGTAAAGCCATACAAATGAATTTAAATGGTGCAGATACTACTGTGTACAAACCTGTACACTGCAATCACTGTAGGAATTTAAGCAAAGGAACTGGCACAACAGGGCTTTGATGGTAGCAGGAAAGGCTCATTATCGAAAGTGAAATTTGAGCAGGGTATTTCCAGAGAGATATGAATAAATCATAAGAGTAGTAAGATACACTTGACTTGAGTGAAGTATTTTTTAAAATTTATTTTTTGTACTAACTAGTTACACATGACAGTAGAATGTATTCTGATACATCATACATAAATGGAGTATAACTTCTCATTCTTCTGGTTGTACATGATATAGAGTTATACTGGTCACATAATCGTATGTTCACATAGGGAAATAACATCCAATTCATGTTACTATCCTTCCTACACCCATACCCCCTCCCCTCCTTTCACTCCCCTCTGTCTAATCCAAAGTATCTCTATATTTTCTGAGCTTCTCTGCCTTGTTGTGAATTAGTATCCACATATCAGAGAAAACATTCAGCCTTTGGTTCTTTGGGATTGGCTTATTCGCTTAGCATGATATTCTCCTGTTCTATCTATTTACTGGCAAATGCCATAATCTCATTCTTCTTTAAGGCTGAGTAATATTCCATTGTGTATATATACCACAATTCTTTATCCATTCATGTGTTGACGGGCACCCAGGTTGGTTCCATAGTTTAGCTATTGTGAATTGTGCTGCTATAAACACTGATGTGGCTGCCTCACCGTAGTATGCTCATTTTAAGTTCTGAGTGGGATAACTCAGTCAAACGGTGATTCTATTCCAAGCTTTCCATAGTGATTGCACCAATTTGCAATCCCACCAGCAATGTATGAGTATACCTTTTCCCCTACATCCTCATCAACACTTATTGTTGCTTGCATTCTTGATAATTGCCATTCTGACTGAAGTAAGATGAAATCTAGTTTTTATTTGCATTTCTCTAATTGTTAGAGGTGTTTCAGTTTTACATATATTTGTTGATTGATTATCTTTCTTTTTATGTGAAGTGACTGTACAGTCCCTTAACCTATTTATTGATTGGATTATTTTGTTTTTCTGGCTTTAAGTTTTCTGAGTTCTTTATACACCCTGGAGATTAATGCTGTATTTGAGGTGAATGTGATAAAGATTCTCTCCCATTCTGGAGGCGCTCTCTTCATGCTATTGTTTCCTTTTCTGTGAAGCTTTTTAGTTTGATTCCTTACCATTTATTGATTCTTGATTTTCCTTCTTGTGCTTTAAAGGCCTTGTTAAGGAAATCATTTCCTAAGCCAACACAGTAGAGATTTGGGCCTACGTTTTCTTCTATTAGGCACAAGGTCTCTGGTTTAGTCCTTGATCCACTTTGAGTTTTGTGCAGGGTGAGAGAGAGGGGTTTAATTTCATTTTGCTACATATGGATTTCCAGTTTTCCCAGCATCAATAGCTGAAGGGGCTCTCTTTTCTCCAATGTATGTTTTTGGAATCTTTGATTAATATGAGATAACTATTTTTATGTGGGTTTTTCTGTGTCTTCTATTCTGTACCATTCGTCTACATATCTGTTTTGGTACCAATACCATGCTGTTTTTGTTACTGTGGCTCTATAATATAATTTAAGGCCTGGTATTGTGATGCCCCCTGCTTTACTTTTCTTGCTGAGGACTGATTTGGTTATTCTGGGTCTCTTATTTTTCCAAATGAATTTCTTGACTGCTTTTTCTATATCTATGAAGAATGGCACTGGGATTTTAATAGGAATTGCATTAAACCTGTATAACACTTTTGGTAATATGGCCATTTTGACAATATTAATTCTGCCTATTTTCAGTGGGGTATTGCTACAGGAGAGTGGTAGAAAATCCATTTAAAGATGTAGGTAAGAATTATATTTTAAAGGACCTTTAATGAAGGTTTAAGAATGCTGATTGTTTTATTCTGAAGGGAATATAAACTTATTAAATATTTCTCAAAAAACTTTTTTAATCTTTATATCACTGCTGATACTATGGAATTCTCGAGAACTAAGAGCCTACTTTTGCTCCTTATTATCAACCCCAATTTCTTCTTACCATAAAAGTACCACATATTTATATGAGAAAATAGAGTAAACTAAAAGAAGAAATTTATAGGATCCGAGCTAACATTCTAGAAAATTTTCTATATCTGTGTATATACATACAAAATAGGGGGATTCTATCTTCAGAAGGCCAACCTGGGATTCAGAAGTTGTGGGGAATATATACAGGAAAGGTTTTAGATAGAAACCCTCTGTGTGTTTTTAAGGGACTGATGTCAAAGAATGGTATAGAACAGAGATCAGAAAAGTTTCTGTGTAAATAGTAAATATTTTAGGCCTGTAGGCCATATGGTTTTTGTTGAAATTACTCTTCTTTGCCATTGTAGTGTGAAAGCAGCCACTGAAAACATGTAAATGAATGAGTATGAGTAGGCTCCCATAAAATTTTATTATGGAAACTAAAATTTCAAAAAATTTTCATATGTGAGGAAATATCATAGTATTTAATAAGTTTCTGTTTTAGGAGCAGGTCAATACTTGCTCCGTGTTTTTTACACAGGTCCCAGGAACAGAGACAGTGGGAAGTAATCAAAAAATGGTGTGCTGCTAGAGTATAAAACTAGGGAATATAAATCACCATCTGGGCACTTTTAGAAAAATTCAAAGGATTTCAAAGGAATAACTTCCTTAATCTAAGGCACAAATCAGTAAAATTTTAGGTTTTACAACTAATGTGAATGTATTAGTTTTATAAACATGTTGAGGCCTTAAAAAATTCAGGTTATATAACATATTGATTAACATAAGGTAAACATTTTTTTCATGTCAATAAATATTTACCTGTAACATCAATAGTATCATTTGCATTTCCAGTAACAGATACCCTCGGTCCCTATGCTTTCTGCACTAGTTTTTAGTGCTTACTCTAGCCATCTTCAAATCTTAATTTGCTAATATAGGAAATGTTAACATACACTCTTTTATTTGTGGGACTTTAATTTCTCTGTTTCACAGGATGATACCTAAAATCACTACAGGAATGTAAATTTTGGTATTCTATCTTAATAAAAAGCATTAGAAGTTAGGAATGCCTAGTTATCTCTAAAAACTACAAGCAAATATTGTGGCACTGTTAAAATAATGTAGTAAAATGGCCAAAGCACAAGGCTTCCAAAATAAGAAAACATTAAATTATTATTGATATGGCATATTAGATATATTATATCAGGACACCATTACTCTCCATCCTCAAAACAGAAAATAATGACTTTTGGACTAATAGGACATAGACTGTATGGTTTGAAATAAGCACTTAAACAAAGGATATGAATAAATGGGTAGATGACAATAATGATTTGAAATACTTACATAATAATTTTTATTAAAATTATCAGGTTGCACTTCAATAACAAAACAAAAATTTACATGCATGCTGAATGTGTTTTTAAAAAACACATTATTGAGCACCAATGTACGGATTTTATTCAAGCACTGTGACTCAAAAATGCTATTTGTCTAACCTTTTTAGAACTTACTCTGATAAGAAGTACGGATCCGTTTCGTTAAATCAGGATAAAAGTTAGACAGGCCACGCATGCAAAAGTTGTCTTTGGAACATGCCAGAACACCAGCATCAGCAGCAGGCAGGGGAAAGAAAGAAGAATAGTCTAAAGTGAAAGGAAGTGATATCATACCAGAATCTAGAACAGCCAAGATGAAGAAATTGCAGCAAAATTAGGTAATCAAATCAGAAAGGAGATATTTAAAAAATCAATTAGAAAGTAAGAGGTGATAGATGAATGATGAGGATGCTGTAGCAATTTTATTTTATCAAATGTCTTACAAAAAATTGATGGCATATTTTTCTTAAATGTTTTTACATAGTATACATACTTGGCTTGTAATAATATATATAAATTGCTTCATTAATATCAAAATGATTGTCTTTAATGCTTCTGCAATTAAAAAGAAAGCTTAGGGATTTTAGTTTTTAATCTTTATTTTTATAATATGAGTACTCAGAGTATTCATTTTGTTTTTCAGTACTAGGGATCAAACCCAGGGATAATCTACCTATGAGCTATATCGCCATCCCTTTTTGTTTTTTTGAGACAGGGTCTTGCTAAGTTGCAAAGGCTAGCCTCAAACTTGCCATCCTCCAGAGTTTCTGGGATTATAGACATGTGCCACCATGCCCAGCTCACTATATTAATTTTGTAAACTAAAATAAAAACCAAGTTTACAGCTTCATCACAGTTTTCCATATTCTAAAGTCATCATAATTATTGATGTTCAAGAAGTTTAAATTATAATTTTCCTTTGTCATAATATTCACTTTTTCAACCCACCATATACACCCAGCACTTCCAGAAAGCAAGTATCTTAGATGCTATCAAAGGGTCCACAGTTTTTATGACTTGAAATGGTACTTTCAGCACTGCAAACAGCAGCTACTAGCTGTTCAAACCTTCCTGCTCTAAAAGCTCTTAACTTTCATAAATCAACCTTCTCTTTCCCACGATTGAGAGACTCTTATGGTACATACGCACAATTTCTTTTATTTTGTTTTTCTTTCTAGCAGTCCTAAAATATTGATAACAGTTGAATTCCTAACAAAAATGCCTCAGGTTTAAAAGATAATTTTGTATCCCTGAAAATGATCTAAGCTAATAATTTAGAAAGCAGTGAAGTTTATCAAAAGGCTAATAAAGGAGAAATTTTTAAAAAAATCAAACTTTTTAGTCTAAAAGGAAAATTCTTTTATCACACTCAAAGGTTTTGACATACCTGTTATTTGGAAAATAAAGTGTAAGATTTTAAATTTTTATTGTAAAATATTCTTTTTTAAAAATGTTTATTTTTTTAGTTGTAGTTGGACACAATGCCTTTATTTATTTATTTTTATGTAGTGCTGAGGATCTATCCCAGGGCCCTGCACGTGCTAGGCGAGCGCTCTACTGTTGAGCCACAACCGCAGCCCCTAATATTCTTTTCATGGATTTTTTAAAAAAAATTAAAGCTTTGATATCCTATTGGTTATTTTAAATAAAGAATAGTAGAAAATTTAAAATAATTGTCTAAACACATAATTCTATAGAAGCATTTTTATCTGCAAACCATTTCCCTAATTTCTACCAACTATAGACTACATCAATGGACAAAAAAATACACAAAATTTCAGCAATGTCTATAAAGCCAACTATTTGGATATATACCGAAATTCCAATAAATTTTGATAATTTAGGATATCAAACTATGGCAATATAATCTAATTAACCACAGAATTCTTTTTTTTATAGTTGAATAGGCCAATTTGTCTTGTCAAGAAAGATGCTATTTTTCATAGCATTTAAAAATGTTAATGAATAATATTTACTGTGCTTGTTAAAATATTTCCAACACAGTCATCATCCATCAGGAAAAGGTCACAGCTATAATATAGAGTTATTTTAAAATATTAAAAGAAGTGAATGACCTTAAGCTACCTTTTATATGTGTGTTTGTTATGTTGGGGATCATACCAGGGCCTCGTTCATGCTAGGCAAACACACTATCCAGCACTCTACCACTATTGTAAATTATCATGTTAAAACGGGCAAAATATATTACAAGTAAGTTGACAGCAGCTTCTTTTGGGGGGGGGTACTGATATATTTTTAAAAATATTTATTTTCTAGTTTTAAGTGGACACAATATCTTTATTTTACATTTATGTGGTGCTGAGGATCGAACCCAGTGCCCTAAGCATGCCAGGTGAGTACTTCACCACCAAGCCACAACCCCAGCCTGAGTACTGATATATTTTTAATTTATAAAGAGGGACTCACTGAGTTGCTTAGTGCCTCACTAAATTGCTGAGGCTGTCTTTGAACTTGTGATCCTCCCGTCTAAGTTGCCTGAGCTGCTGGGATTACAGGCATGTGCCACCATGCTTGGCCAGCTTTTTCAACTAAAGAACTTGATTTTCACAGCATTTCAAAATTTAGCAGTTTCTTATTTTCTCTTCTTTCTTAGGAACTTAACCTAAGAAACTTGAAATGCTTCCTAACCTAAAAAAGCAAACTTTATATACCTCCCTTGCCCTTTCAAAGATTCTCACTGTATTTCTGCCCAACACATTGTATTACATGGTAGTATAAATCATGTTGGTTCATTTTATAAAGCATTTGAATAACATCACAAAAGATAAGCAATCTGAAAAAAATGGTGAACAAATCAAGTTCATAACCCAGCTTGTTTTCTTTCCTACCTGCAATGATCTGCTTGTTCTTTCGAGGAGAACGTGGTTGTCTCTGATATAGGTCACTTGATCTATAAAGGTCAATGGTCCCCATGCTTAACAGAACTGTCTTCTGTATAAAATCCACCACAGCCAACCCATTGCAGTTTCCAAAGGCAACTCTAAGAGACAAAAAATAAAAATAAAAAATGCAACTAGAATATATAATAGTCATGAATATTTTTGTCCTTTAAATTAAGTATAAGTTTACTGAAAAATATTGTCTAGGGTAGAGGAGGTTAAGCGGTATGGTATGTTAATCAGGAAAGGTTTGCCTTTACGTTGGATAGAATGACTTAGTATAATAACCATGAACATTAACTACAAAAAATAAGGATGACCTGTAAGAACATCTTGTCAGGTAAGTAATTACTACCCAATCTGCTGTTTAACTTGATCTATTTGTATAGTAGAATGAAACAGAATCATTTTAGTATGCAAGGAGCACAGAGGTCAAGAAAATCCACACTTTTATAGCTACAAAGTCTTTATAAATAGATACCTTTCTCAAATAAAATTGTTATTGTTATGCTCCAAATTATTTTCTTAGAGAAAAACTAAAATTAACTTCATATATTTAACATTTTTCTACTATAATAGACATAAGGAAATACACTCATTCACAATTTTTTTCTCAATTTTTGCATGTTATCCCACTTATTAAAAGACAAACACCATTTAATTAGCTCATTACCAGAATTTCCTGATTTAATTAAAACAGTTCTCCTAAGGAGATATTTTAATCACTTGAAGGTATATTTTACTATACTTCACTGCATAATTGCCACAGCATAATTATTTAACACTGTTTTTTCAGTTCAAAAATTGGTTTATAACTTTTTACTTCATAATTATTGCATGGTATAATTCTGTTTGTCATGCTGATTAAAAGTAAACAGAGCAGCAATATATTTACCAGTGGCATGTGGATGTGCATTTGTGTTATTATGCCCTGTGAGCCAATCCACTGCCAGAATGACTTGCCCCAGCCAGTGGTTCTGTCACACAGCAGAGAGCCGGCCTGCCAACACTAATCTTCTAAGAAGGGAAATTGGGAAGTCTTAAACCCCAACTTTAAATTTGGTGAGCAACACAATGAAACAGAAAGGACTCACAACTCATGGCCCATACTCCCACTCTTAGTTCATACCTCAAGACGAAACTAAAAGAAAATCAGTTGGGCACAGACAGTGAACACATATGTTCATCGACTATTTTGTCCACCGTAGTGGAAGTGACTCCTTAATTTCTTAACATTTCACTGATATTTTTCCTTTTTGTTGTTGCTTGTTTTGTTTTACTTTTTGTTTTGGTTTTCTATATTGTGTTTTTGTTTTATTTGAATGTGTACTGATTGATTCAAGGATTTCTATACATGTTTCTCTCTCCTTATTTCTAGCCTTTTTAAAACTTTTATTTATTTATTTTTTGAAGGTATTATTTTCCTATGCTCTCTATTTTGAGGGTTAGGTCCCCCTGTCCCTGCCCAGCCCCGTGATGCTAAGGATTGAATCTAGGGATAGGGGTTTTGATTAGCATATTATGATTTTGTTTTGTATGATCTTTACCACTACTCTATGTCCCTTGTCTCCCTCTCTTTTTTCTATTGCTGACACTCAATTCCATTCGCTCTCTCCTCCTTTAAAGTCATTCTTTTTTTATTCCATTGTGCACATATGCCACATTTTCTTTGTAGTTGTACACAATAACTTTATTTATTTATTTATATGTAGTGCTGATGATGGAATCCAAGGCCTTGCATGTGCGAGGTGAGGGCTCTACCACTGAGCCACAACCCCAGCCCCCTCTCTCCTCATTTATGTGCTAGATTTTTCTTCCCCTTTCACATTGACAACAAATCCTTGTGAGGAGCGGCAAATAAATTATTGCTTTGAACTCCACAGCCTTGGATAGGTAGACTGCCCTTCTGAATTTCTTTTGGTACAACTGTGCTGAAAGACATGCCCACTTGCAGGTGGTCACTGTTAATGGGGCAGATTCTATGCCTGGTGTGGAATTTATGAGTTTGATAGTTTTGAATTTAGATGCCTGCCAGCCTTGGGTAAAAGAGATACCAGTGTGCCTAAACAGCTTTGAGGTGCCAGCTGCCTGGAGGAGGAATTACTGTGCAAGTGATAAGCCAACCCAGCCAATTCCCCACAGCTTCTCCTTTCTTGTTTACCTTGAAGAACCCCATGTTACAATAAATTCCTTTGGTGTGTTTTGCTATAAATAAAGAATTCATGGGCTTTTCCCTTTGTTAGAATCAGATCCATCAGGTCTTTCCCACCTGTCAAGTCACTGCTTTCAATATATTTCTTGTCCTTTGTGTTTATTTCTCAATAATAATTTCCCAGATTTAAAAAATAATATTTTTAATGTTTTTTTTTTGGTTGTTGTAGGTGAACACAATACCTTTATTTTTTATGTGGTGCTGAGGATCAAAACCAGTGCCTCACGTGTGCCAGGTGAGCACTCTACCACTGAGCCACAGCCCTAGCCCACTTTTCCATATTTTTATTTCCAGTTGGCCCACACTCTGAGAGTTACTTATTTCCTCCCCATGAAGGCTATGGGTACAAATCCTCTGTTATCAAAGCATCTGCCCTATGCACATTTTGAAACTTTTCTACCCTCCTATTTCTTCTTTCCTCATACTCAACTCTATCCTTAACAGCTCATAATACTAATTGATATATATAATATCTTCCCCTACCATCAATGTCACAGCAATAATTAATAAGGCAGAAATCATAGATAATACCTATTGTTTAATTTTATACCAAACATAATTCATGATTATTTACTGTTTTTACTGATGGAAATTTCTGATCCTACTATTTCTACATATTATACCAATTAACATTAAATATGAAAATAAGAACTAAAGACCTGGTCTATTGCTATATATTGTTTGCATAGATTAAAGCTATCATTGGGCTCCCTCCCAATCTGTGAGGTACTAGTAACAGAGAAAGCATTATAAACTCATAAGATAGAAACTTTACAGCACCATATCCATCCAGATATATGGGTAAACCCACAAACAACAAGAAAAAGTAAAGGAACAAACAATCCTAAACAACAAAAAACTGATACTACAGTTTAGAAAATGTCAGGGATGGAATTCAGAAAGTTCAAAATTAAACAGATCTATGAGGTAAATGATGAAGAAATTAAATCAGAATGAAAATACAGAATGAAAAAAAAAATCGCTCTAATAAGGCGATAGAGATCCTGAAGAAGAATCAGTCCGAAATCCTCTAAATGAAGGAATCAGAAAAACAAATTAAAAATTCATTGGAAAGCATCACCAACAGAAAAGACCACATGGTCTTTGAAACAATGAAGACAAAGTATATAATCTTGAAAATAAAGTTGTTAAGATGATAAAAAATGTTAACAGACCATGAATAAAATTCCAAGATGGATAAAATGAAAAGACTAAACTTAAGACTTATTGGGTAGATGAAAGCTCAGAGTTAAACCAAAGGAATGCACAGTTATTTTCAATAAAAATTTCCCAAGCCTTAAGAAAAAACAGAAAATCAGGTACAGGAGGCATACAGGACCCCTAAATATACAAACCTACAACAGACCCACACAAGAACTTATTATAAAAATGCCTAACATACAGATTATAGAATTTCAAAGGCTGCCAGAGAAAAGCAGCAGGGCACATTTAAAGGGAAACCAATACAGATCTCAGTATTTTTAAACTCAGACCCCTAAAGCTGGGAGCTCTTGGAATTATATATTCCAAGCTCTGAAAGAACATGGACGCCAGTCAAGAACACCATACCCAGTGAAATTAAGCTTCAGAATAGAAAATGAAATAAAAACCTTCCATAATAAATAAAACTTAAAAGAATTCACAAATAGAAAGCCTGTACTACAAAACATACTCAATAAAATATTTCTTGAAGAAATGAAAACCAGCAAAAGGAGAAACTACACTACAAGAATAGTCAATGAAAGGATAAACTAATTCAAATTAAAAACTAGAAATAAATCAAATGATATAGAATAAAAACCATATCTCAATAATAACATTGAATGTAAATGGCCTAAACATATCCATCAAAAGATATGGACCTGCAGATTGGATTAAAAAACAAGTCTCAACAATATGCTGTCTCCAAGAGACTCACCTCATAGGCAAAGATTACCACAGACTGAAGGTAATAAAAGAATGGGAAAAAAACATATCATTCACATGGATCTTATAAACAAGCCAGAGCTTCTATCTTCATATCATATAAAGTAGATTTCAAGCCAAAGTTAATGAAAAAGAACCAGAAGGACATTTCATATTGTTTAAAGAAAATATATATCAACAACACATAACAATCCTTAAGTATTTATACCCCAAACAGTGTAGCAACTACATACAAACAAACCCTTCTCAATTTTGAAAATCAAATGGCCACAACAAAAAAATTTGGTGACTGTAATATGCCTGTTTTATGGAATAGATCTTCCAAACAAAAACTAAATAAAAAAGCTATGAAACAGAAAAATACCATTAATAATTTATGTATATTGTAGATATATGTATACTATTTCATCCATCAATGAACATACTTTCTTCTCAGCAGCACAGATCCTTCTCTAAACTATACCATATTTTAGGTCAAATTGAATCAGGAGGACACAGAATATTTAGATCAATTTCAAGCAAAGGAATTGAAGATGCTATCAAAAGCCTACCAACAGGGCTGAGGTTGTGGTTCAGAGGTAAAGTGCTTGCCTAGCATGCATGAGGCACTGGGTTCGATCCTCAGCATCACATAAAATAAAAAACAAAGACATTGTGTCCACCTATAACTAAAAAAAATATTTAAAAAAGAAGCCTACCAGAATACAACAGACACTAGTATGGCAGTATGTATAAAAGTGGCTGTATAACCAATGTGATCCTGCAATCTGTACATGTGGGAAAAATAAGAATTCATACCCCATTTGAATCAAATGTATGATATATATATATCTCAAGATCATTATAATGTTTTGAGCAACCAATAAAAAAAAGAAGCCTACCAACAAAGAAAAGCCCAGACCAGATGGATTCTCAGTGGAGATCTACCAGACCCTCAAAGAAGAACAAACACCCAAACTTCTC